TATGTTATAGCACATGGATGTAGAAAGTGTCCCTGTAACTATGTTATGGCACATCAACTTAACCATTGCACAAGTGTCACTTGGAATAAACTGGTAACAAATATGAAATAAAATTGTCTAACAAATATTTCCAATTTCAAATCAAACACCAGAAGGCAATGTGTGATTATATGAATTTCCCACCTCTGATACTGCTGTGGGACAATGGCCACAGCCTCCTGGCGATATATAGATGAATAGAAATGGGTTCATTTAAGATGTAATGGTTACTTAATAAGAAGCCTGAGCTACTAGGATAAACAGTGTTGTAATCAATATAGTTTCTGTGTGATTATTCAGGTCTGGCAGCCAGGAAATGAATGAGAAGTCTCCATCTACAATAGCAGATGGTGCAAATGACATCATGTAATCAATACCCCTGATTAGCTACATACTGCTCTGTTTAGTAATGTGACTGACTTCGTCTATCCACCCACCCTCACCTCATTGATCAATAGCCCCAAATTATAAATTGGACACAGAAGATTCAACCTCTCTAAGCAAGAATAAGCCAACTAGGTCTGAAGTATTGAAGAATTAGGCAGTTAGATTTACTTAGCAACTATAAGGGTGAAGCATCCTGCGTGTGGTACATAATCAGCCAAATACTGAGCAGAAACACACAGAACACAAAAACTGTGGCTCAAAAGAGAGAAAAAAACCAGAAAAGGTCTATGTCCTATGCCCAATGGCCCTCCAGTTCCTCACTGCAATCCTCTCAACAGCTGGACGTCCGAGTCACATTTTGGGATCTTTGTCCAGACATTTTATACCTTATTTTGCCTTATGCTACTTAGCCCTGGAAACCAGTATTTCCCAATCTCTTCTGTGAATACTGGGCTTTCAGATGCAAGTACAAAACTACAAATGTCAATGTAAGTATATATCTTACATCATCTATACTCAAATATATGCATATAAGACAGCATATATGTCACACATATGTATACATACACACATACATTGAATGTATGCATATACACTAATAGGATATGTGTTTGACATGTTTTGAGCCTGGAACACACCATATCACCTTAGTTGATACTAGTACCATTCAGTAAACACTGTTCTGATACATCCTATATGAAAGTATTAATTATCTCTGCAACTAGCCTAAAGTTTTTCATCCCGACCTTAATAATAGACAAACTTTATCAGACATCTTCATAAAGTCCATGTATTCTATGCATGATACAGTTCTTAGAGCTAGTAACCACAGATGCAAAATGAAATAAAGGCTGAAGAGATGGCTCAGAAGTTAAGAGTACTTGATGCTCCATCAGGGACCTGGGTTCAGTTCCCAGCATCTAAATGGCGGCTCACAACCATCTGGAACTAGAGTTCCAGGGGTTCCAATGCCCTCTTCTCACCTCCATGGGAATCGGAAACAAATGCAGTGCATACTGATATATTCAAGTAAAACATTCAGATGCATACAATTAAAAAATTCTAAAAAAAAAAGGAAAGAAAGAAAGGGAAATGGAAATGGGGAGATAACCTGACAGGTAACGATGATCATTGTCCAGCCAGACAAGTGGAAGTCAGTCCCTGGGGTACACAGGATAGAAGGCAAGAACCAGCTCCTGTAAATTGTTCTCTGACATCTGTATATGTGCCATACATACACATAAAATAAGTACAATAAAGAAAAAATTTTAAATGAAATAGCAAGGCCCATATGCTCTCTTAATAAGTGTAAAATTAGTTCAAGGGTTATATCCATCACTCATGTACCCTTAGTTAGGGTAAGGCAGTGCAGGCCTTTAATCCCAGCACTCAGGAGGTACAAGTGGTGGATTTCCAACAGTTCAAGCCAGCCTGGTTTACATAATGAGCTCCCAGATGAGCTAGAGCTATACACTATAAACCTGTCTCACAAAAACTAACCAACCCTTACAGCCATACTTTAATAAATTACTCTAAGTCTTGTCTGGAATTAAAATGAGACTTACTTGTCATTCAGTAGCATTTCATACATGGAAGAGTGTTTGCATATTATCCTCTCTAGCAGGCTTCAAGATAACAAGAGTGACTCCCCAACCCCATTCAGAATACTGCCAGCCCTTGGGAAGCCCGTCTATCCATGTCAAGAGACCTGAACTCAATCAAACAGATAATGTTTCCTAAGAGTCCCTTCTCTCGTCAGCTGGAAGAGTCTATTGTGTACTCTTATGGCCTTTTATCCCTAAACTTTGTCCCTTCAGTCAGTCTTTTTCCTACTCCTGGAAAGAGCCCTATCCCTATTCTAAAGAGAATCCTTGGCAGTTAAAGTAGACTTGCAGCTGGATGTAGGAAACAGACTATATAAACTTCACATTGACAGGTATTAAAACAGATACATTCATCCTAACAATCAAGGGAAGAAAGCTAAAATAAGTAAAGCAATGCATTTTAGAGGTTTTCTAAATGTTCATCAAAGAAAAACACAATAGTTATTGTGATATGAAAACAAAACAATAAAATAATAGACCCAAAAGAATGGTCTCCAGATTTGGTCGGAATAACCTCAATCCTTGAATTATCTCTAACACAAACATGGCATACGGATCTTCAGCACTATTCAACTATAAATAGTTTTCTACAAGCAAAACTGTAACAGAAAGAATATAACCATTTTCAAATTCTTAGTGTCTGATGGACTAATTGCCTGGGATATTTTCTGAAGGTTGAGAAGTTATGAAATACTGTAATTATGGATCCAAATGAAGCAAGTAAAAGTTATCTGTTTGTTGTGAATTATAATTTGTGCTTCCTTCTTCCATCTCAGTGTTCTATCGTTTCTTTCTCAAAGTAACATAATAACATGCTGCCATTCCTGACAACAAGGCCATCATTAACAGGAAGTTCCTGACTCTGCTGCTGGAGAAAACATTAACAAGAGGAATATATAAAACAAATGCAGACCCACTAAAAATACATTATAAACAAACTTCTTAAATTCTGTGTTTGGACTCTTAAAATTATAGTTACTGAATATAAAAAACATGACAACGTTTAAAAATTAACCCTATTACAATAGACCCCGAAAATGCAATTTATAGTTAAAGTCCAAGACAAAGACTTCAAAATATCAATTATGAGTATGTTCAAGTCCTTAATGAGGAGATGAATCAAGCCCTTAATGAAGTCTGTGAAAACATAAGCAAGGAAATGAAATAATGAAAATTCAATTCAAGACATGAAAGTAGAATTTAACAAAGAAATAGAATCACTAAAAAAAAAACTCAAACTGAGATAAAACTAAATGAAAATTTAGGAAGTCAGACACAAACCTCAGAAGCAAAGGACAAGACATGGAAGAGAGAGTCTCAGGCATTGAAGACAAGGCACCAGAAATGTATACCTGAGTAAAAGAAAATGTTAAATCTATAAATAAAGAAATTCAGGCACAAAATATCCAGGAAATCTGGACATATGAAAAGACTGAACCTACAGATAAGAAGAACACAAGAAGAAACCCAGGTCATTGAAAAAATATTTTCAATAAAATCATTGAGGAAAATTTCCCTAACTTTAAGGTGTCTAGGAAAGCACAAGAGGCACACAGAAAACAAAACAGACAGGACCGTAAAAGAAATTAGTCATGAGACATAATAATCAAGACACTAAACATACAGAACAAAGAAA